TGAGAATCAGAGCTTCCAGGGGGGAAAGATGTCAGTGCTAGTGAAGGCTGTTTCTTTGCAGACATACACCGTGGACATCTTTTCAGCTGGCTGTGTCTTCTATTACGTGGTGTCTGAGGGTGGCCATCCCTTTGGCAAGTCCCTGCAGCGGCAAGCCAACATCCTGCTGGGGGCATACAGCCTGGAGGCCCTGGGGGCAGGGAGGCACGGTAAGGATGCACTGCAGGGCTCACTGAGGGCCCAGGCTGCTGAACACCAGCACCACTGACAGCACCAAGGCCCACAGGGACCCCCAGCCTGGCAGAGAGCAAAGTACTGGCTGTACTCAGGTCCTCCTGAACTAAAGGGCCTACAGTTCCTGGAGTCAGTGCCCCAGGGCAACTCTGTGGTCTTGACTGTGAAGTTATTTCCTGTATTTAAAGAAAGAGAGAGCTGAACTTTGATATCCTTAGTCTTTGATAGTCTTTCTGTTGATTGCTCAGGACATCTGTAAGGGCAATACTTGCACTAGCAGGACAGGAGGAAGTAGAGACAATAATGAATTTCTGAAGTACAAAATATTATAAAATTACAAAATTTTACTTTTTACTACAGCTTAAGAACATAGAGAAAATAAACCAAAAGAAGTAAATTTCCTTGCACACTCTTCCTTGCAGAAGACATTGTTGCTCGTGATTTAATAGAGCAGATGATAAACATGGACCCTCAGAAACGGCCATCGGCCAGCTGTGTGCTCAAACATCCCTTCTTCTGGAGTCTAGAAAAACAGCTCCAGTTCTTTCAGGTTTGTGATGACCTTTTCTGTCCTCTCGGTTCTCAGGGCTTTTTCAGGTCTTGAATTCAGTCTCTCTTTTGTGCCTGAGGTCACAGAATGCTCAGCCTTACTGAGAGGAGTGAGGCACCCACTTGTAAACCATGGCTGGAGCTCCTTAGCAATTGGCTCAGTCTCACAGCAGATCTGTCAGAGGGGCCAGGGCTGATGTACCAAGGTCAGTGGGTGGGAGAAGCAGCACCCACAGAGAACATGGCCAGGAGGGTTTGCAAGAACAAGAGTGAACAAGCACTGAATGCTGATGTGGGGTGGGAAATGGCTGAGGGCTTGAGATCCTTTCCAGCCTTATCTTCTCCTCTGTGCTAAAAAGGCTTTGGAAGAGGGTGAAACAAATAATCTCAGAAACTTCTGTATCCTATTCCCAAGTGCTGTCATGGAGTGGAATTCTAACTTTACTACCAGGACGGGCTGTAATGGGCCAGAAGCAGCAATTTAAAAATGCTGGGAAAAACTTGGAAATAAAACTAGAAATAATCTGAATGTCTCTTCCAGGATGTTAGTGACCGGATAGAGAAAGAATCTTTAGACGGTCCAATAGTCAAGCAGTTGGAAAGAGGTGGAAGAGAAGTGGTGAAAATGGACTGGAGAGAGCACATCACTGTTCCTCTTCAGACAGGTAAGGGACAGCACTTTGACAGTTTGCTGTTTGCTGGGACAGGAAAGTCAGGCTAACACTGCCTCAGTTCTGGCACATCACTGTTACTTGCCAGTGAAGTGTTTCTTCTAATGGAAGTACATGTTTATGTACTGAAACACACCTACAAGGATCTGTGGCTGCAGGCAAACACCCCAGCACCTAAAACTGCATCACAACACACAAAACAATTTGTTTCTCTTGCAGATCTTCGAAAATTCAGATCTTATAAAGGTGGCTCCGTCCGGGACCTTCTGAGGGCAATGAGAAATAAGGTAAAGGAGTCTTTTCCTCGTGCACTCTGGGTTCCTGCCTCTGGCTGCTGTTGTTGCCAGCCTGTATCAGACCTGATTTAGGTACTGGGCTGCTTTACAAGAGCCCTCTAGGAGGTTACTGTGTCCAGGAACGGCAGCACTCTGTTCACAAGAGGCTTCTGAGGAAACCCTCTGCCTGAGCTTTCCCCTCTTCTGTTTTCCTCCACAGAAGCACCATTACAGGGAGCTGCCTCCCGAAGTGCAGGAGACCCTGGGCTCCATCCCAGATGATTTTGTGTGTTACTTCACAGCTCGTTTCCCTCGCCTGCTCCTGCACACCTACCACGCTATGCACATCTGCTGCCAGGAAAGGCTCTTCCAGCATTACTATGCTGAGGACTCTGCAGAGCTGAGCCTCACAGGAGACACGGTTTGAGAGGAGAGGGATGGAGCTTTCTTCTCTGGGACCAACATTCCAAGCACAGGCCTACCCTTAGCAGGGAAACGTGGGATCAAAGAGCTGAATTCTCTCTCTCTGAAGAAACCAAGCTTCCAAAAAGTGCCTTGTACCTGTGGCTGTGCTGGATCAGGACATGGTGGAGCTCAGGGCACGAGGGGTAAAGCGATGAACCCTGGTGATGGAGTTACTGACTCCAAGGCAGTTTTCAAGACTGTGGAAATGAAGAGCAAAAGCTGGACATAACCATCACTCAATATCCCTGTACTGTACATGATTTTGTAATGGATGAGTTTTACTACAAAAAGAAAATCAAATTCAGTGATTGAAACCATATAATTACTTGGGACTGGGATGTGCAAAAGGAGCCCTTTGGTTGCAGCAAATTATCTGAACCTGCCATTGCACTGCTGCCACATTAGGCACCAGTGATTGTAAAGGGAATCATTCATGATTATCCTAAAAATGGTATGAAAGTACCATTTCTGTTTAACCAGTACTACTCTGGCAAGTTAGTCCCTTATACTTGAGCAGAAACCGTTTTAAAAAATACTGACTTGAAACATCAAATCAAGGTTTTCCTACTCTGAAAATAAGCCTTGTTGTTTAATATGAAGCAGAACAGGTTCAGTATTTGCAGAACAGGTTGAACAATCCTCAGCTTAACTCCCAGTATGAGAACAGATCTGCTCAAGTACCTGCAGCAAACAGCAATGGCAGCTGGGAGCTGCCTGTGACTCATCAGCTGCAAATGTCCCTCAAGGGCTGAGGAAAGGCCCCAGCCACAGAGCCAGGGGTGAGATGAGTCCTGGGGAAAAGAGCAAACAGGAGCCAAGAGCTGCTGAGAGCAGTGAAATCAGGGCAGTGTTTAAGGGGTGCCACAGAACCCCATTTCCTGTGTGTGGGCTGGGTATTCCATCCACGGGAGCCTGTGTGCTTAAAGGTGCAGTATTTCTTTACACTGGCCCTGAAGCTGTGGCAAAGTGTCACGTGTGTGCTAGGATGGAGAAATGCTGAATTCTAATGTAACTGGGCTGTTCTTTTACAATATATTTATTTAATGTATTTATATTTATTTAATTTTTACTACAAAGTGGTATCAAATCCACGTGGTACAAGTATGAAGCATGCCAAATCAGTCTTAATCAGTTTTGTCTTTATATTTAATCATCAGATAACAACTGGAAGAGGAAAGTGATACTGCATCTTTCAATGGAAATAGTTAAAGGAGAAATTACAAAGTGACAGTTTGTATGACAGTGCCATTGTGTCTTAAATAAATTATTGCTAGTAATATCCCATGGATGATGGGGTAAGTACAGCTATTTTTCTGGAGATACTTTACAGGATGTTTTTTTTCCTACTTTTACAATGTGTGAGAGCAATTGACCTAAGATGCCAAACTGTGCAGGTTACATGTTCTAAAGCTTGAAAAAATAACGGTAATTTTACCTACCAAGAGTCAAAGCCTATTTCATATTTTTGTATTTCTCATGTAAAGGTCTTTTATAAATCTACTAAATAAAGATTGGGATTAAAACCGCACAGCTGTGAGTGCCATTGTGTGGGCAGGGGACCAGCAGGCCTGGAGCTGGCAGAGCTGAGCAGGGATGGCCAAGGGGGTCCTGCTGCCCTCGGGCAGTGCCCGTTCCTGAGCCCGCTCAGTCCATCTCTGCCTGCGGGGCCAACGGCGGTGCCCGAGTTGTTCAGGCGGGCGGAGCCTCCCTGAGGCCCAGGAGCCTCCCTGAGGCCCAGGAGCCTCGCGGGTTTCTCGGACAGACCCCAGACCCCCCTCCAGCCTGGTGCCTGCGGCAGGTGCACAGCCGAGATAAAATGGCGGCTCTTTGTGCTGCTGTGGGACAAAGAAATACCCACAAATAAACAGTTTTGGTGAACCTGAGCTGGGGAGTGATGACGTGCTTTACAGGAAACAGAAAGCGACCGAGACAGTTCTGCTGCAGCCCAGCCTTCCTGGGCGCCAGTGGCACAGCGGGCTGGGCCCAGCAGCCTCTCCACTACTTGGTGGGGGGCCTGGAGTGAGTAGGTAGCTCATATAGAGGGCAGTGAGATGGATCTGAAAGTTTAAAATACAAAACAAAGAAGAAATATATTCCACATTATATATTTCGACATATACCTCTGACACCTTTTTTTGGTGAGGCTGAAGCTATTGGATTTGTATCAGCAGCACCAATCAGCAGCAGCACTGCTGTGAAGGGGGTGGAGACTTGAACCACGAATATTTATCTAAAGCAGTTTCCTCTTTTTATTTCCGGAATAATTTTCAAGAGACGCGCGGGAGCTGCAGCACACCCACAGTGCTCAGCCTGCTGCCCGCGCCGAGCCTGGCACCAGAGGTCTTGGAGCACCTTCCCTCCCTCCCTTCCTCCTCCGGAAACCTTTCCCTGCGGGCACACCGCGCTGGGACACTCGGCTCTGCAAGGTAAGCTCTCGGAGCGCTGCTCGTTCTCAGCACGGCGGGTTCTGTACTGGGACCGGGTTTAACGAAAGGTGAGCCTGTGCCTCCACGGCCGCCCACCCAGCTCTGTGCCCCGGCCACGCCACGGGGCTGGGAGCAGCTCGGAGAGGCGGCAGCGGGGATCCGACAGCTCTGCCCGCACCCACTCCGTTCCCCCCCGTGCAGCCCGGGGAGCACAAACCCCGAGTGCTCCCCAGAGCCCCCGGAGCACAAACCCCGAGTGCTCCCCAGAGCCCCCGGAGCACAAACCCCGAGTGCTCCCCAGAGCCCCCGGAGCACAAACCCCGAGTGCTCCCCAGAGCCCCCGGACCTCAAACCCCGAGTGCTCCCAGATCCAGGGGGATCAGGGACCCGCGGGCCCCTCCAGCCGCGCTGCCCCAGCTCTGCTCAGCCTCCGTTCCAGTTTCGATTCCCCGGCAAGGTTCTCTGTTCGGAAGCGCTTTCCTGACGTCAGCTGTCACCGCGGGCTGGGGCAGAGACAAGGGCGGGACGAGATTCCACAGTACAAGCCCAGCCCTGGGAGGTGGCCAAAGGCACTGAAAGATCGCTATTTCAGGGACATTTTTAGCCGCCTTTATCGGCGAAGGCTGCACCAAGTGTCAGTGGAAATCCATCTCCCACCAGTTTCATAACCAGCCTGGTTACACTTACTCTGAGGGATGCCTTACACCTGCAGCACATCAGGGCAGTCCCGTAACAGGCTCCCCTCTCAGAGCCTCCTGCTCACACCAGAGCTCCAGCCATGTTTGTGCCTCAGCCAAGGCTTCCACAGGGCTGACTGGATGCAGAAAGGGTTAATGAGCACTCGTTGGCTTTCTCCAGCACACCCTGCTCTCCCTGACCACCCCTTCTGCTGAACCCACCTCCTGCCAAGGTTTTCTCCTTTCCCCAGTCACCACCATTACACCTGCAGATATTGTGGAGACCTCGAGCAGCCGGACAGCTCCTTTGCCACTCGCTGAGAGCACTGGTTTAGCACCACGAGCTGCAGGGCTGCAGCACAGAGCTGTCTCCCCACTCAGTAAGAGAAGCAACAGCAGCAGCACCACAGTGCACCTTTCCCTGTGCCCTGCTGACTGTGAATGTCACACTGAGCAGGGGTATTGGACCTGTGATTAACGCATATGATTCTTGCTAACATGATTGTAACTACATCACTATTTTAGAAAATAATTGCTATAAAATAAAAAGTATATGTGGTTAGTGTTACAAAGCAGATGTGTCCCTTTGCACATGTTATTTGTGCAAAACAGGATATAGGCTGTGGTACTGAGATAAGCAAGATCCCAAAACAGAATTGGCCTCGGGCAAACAAAGCTGGGACGATTCCCAAAGCAGAACTGGCTGTGGGATGAGCAAAGCTGGGACAACTTCAGATACAGAATCTATAGTAGTGGTTTTATCTATGAAATGATAATACTTATTTGGAATATAATATTTACTTACATAACACAAAGCTTAATGTCCATGTGCAACCTGTAAGGTTATTCAGGGGACAGCAAGGAAGACAGCGAAAAGACCAGAGCCAGGAGACCCCCTAACAACAAATGGAGCATGAGCTGTGCAGTACAGTGACACAGATTTCAATATTTGAAAATAGGAGGAGATTTACAGGAAAATACTGATGAATATGTACTAGCATGCAGTAGATAAGCTGGGTTTGGATTCCTTTGTTTCTTACGTGAGGCACGGTGAGAAACCCTCCCCATACCCTGGTCAGTTCTGCTTATACTTTATACAAACCTTAATCATACTTAATTAATCACTGCCAAATTTCTGTATATGCTTGATTATATCTAATATACTTGACTGTATTCATTTATATAAAATTGCTGCTCAGTTAAAATTGCTGCTAAATTAAATTTTGTTGTTTAGTAGATCAGACATATAGAACTTCATTCATAACAAACCCATTCCTCCTGCAGTACAGAACAGGCTGTCCGTGCTGCCACCCATCCTGAACCCCTGGAATGGAGGCTGGGCACAGGAAGGATGGCATAACTCAGGGGAGGACACCCCACTAAACAGAAAACCTTCTGCTGGCTTGGGCAGTGAGTCAAACTGCTTCTTGGAAATTTTGGTAAGCAGCAGAACAGATGTGGGAAAAGAGAAGAAGCAGGGGAGAGTGTACCCATGAAAAAAGAGCAGGGGAAAAAGCAAGTGTGAAGGAACTAAAGGCAGGGAAAATGAGATAAAGCAATAAAAAGTTAAAGAGACAGAACCTGGGGGATGCAGTGGTGAGGGGCCTCCTTTTCTCCAGATGTAACAGAAGGAACTGTTGGGCTCAGCTGTCAGCACAAACCTCCACAGCAACCCCCTGCTTCTGTCACATCCACCACGTGTGCAGAGGCAGGAGCAGCACAGCTGGCAAGAACAGGCCTTTAGAGGTACAGAAATTACCTTGGGCAAAAAGTTGGGGAGGAAGTTGGGAAAACACAACACCAAAGTCGGCTTGAACTACCACAGGAAGGTGAACTGTAAATCTGAAGGCTTACTTTTTCCTCCTTCTAGGGTTTTGTACATCAACAGCAGGATTTCCTTCACCAAAGACAATGGGTATGTATTGCTTTCAGAAAATTTCTACTTTGTATGTAGCAATTTGCTTTAATATCTGCATTTGAAGGATTTCTCTCTAGTGGGGAACTAATCAGTACTCCTATCATCTTAGGGTGTACATTGATGCTATCTTTATTTAGGATAAAATAATCAGACTCAAGTGGTAAATGATCTACCCAAACCTGTCCGGTTTAGAGAATCCAGCCCTGTCAATTCCCATAAACCTTGTTATGCCCTGCAAAAAACATTTTGAGTTATTTCCTCAATTCCCTTTGAGGATAATTTCCAAGTTTCCTTCCTAGTTTCCTGCTTTGCTGATTTACTGGTCTTGCACCATTTAGAACTGCTTCTGATTACGGTTATGAATACTTTATCATCAGAAGTGACATATTTAAGACCTGCTCTCTCACTGTGACTGGTAGAAAGAAAAGAATCGAACATTCACTGTGGCCAAACAAACATTAGTTTGTAATTAATAATACATGATTTTAATGTCTAGATTACAAAACGTTACCTGTGAGAGAATGGGTTGAGAACCACGTCAAATGCTGGCTGGAATCTACCGGAATCAAGAAGGAGTATGTAGATAAACTCTATGCAGAAGAAGTGACAGGTCCAGCATTAATGGAACTGGATGAGTCTTTCCTCAAAGACATAGGAATGAAGAAAGGCCAAATCCAGATCTTAATCCGCAAGAGAAATGAACTTTTGCGGCTGCAGGACAACGCAGAGCAAGCTGAGGACTCCGGCAGCAAAACACCCGACAGAAGGGAAGCACAAACAGCCCCAGGCAGAGCCAGCACTGCCCCTGCTCAGGGCACGGCGAGCGAAGGCAGCTCTGGTGCTGTGGGCACCACCAGCAGCGAGAGCACAGCTCCTGCTTCTGGCAAGAAGCCAAAAAGCAGCAAGAAATCCCAGCTTCCAAGTGCTGCTGAAGTTTTAGAGGTCAGAAACTATCGGCCATTTAGAAGTCAGGACCCCGACTTCAAATACGTGAAGGACACAGTTCTTCCTCCAGAATCAGGAGTCAGTGATTTAATCATTCCTTGCCACGAATACAAATCCTGTGACACTGCTGCAGAACTGAACGAACAACAGCTGAAATCAAAATTTGCCTCTGAAGTGATACGGTTTGCTTCGGCCTGCATGAACATTCGAACAAATGGCACCATCCATTTTGGTGTCATGGACAGTGTTGAGAACAAGGGCTGGAAACACGGGCAGATCGTCGGCATAAAGGTCAAAAAACGAGAAGACTTTGTTGATGCTCTGGATTATATAGAAAAGTGCTTTTGCGATAATTTACAAGAAATTGCAAGGAAATGTATTCATCCACCTGTGTTTGTTGAAGTGATTTCAAAAGACTCTCAAGAACAAAGATTTGTAGTGGAGGTTGACATTGAACCAACATTCAGCTTGGTAAAGAACAATTACTTTCAAGTTCATTTGCCAAAATACAACGAAAGCAGTCACAAGGTGATCCTGACCAAAGAACCAGCTCTCTACCAGCGACTGGGAGCGAAGTCTGAGCCCGTGCAGCAAAGCAAACTCGCTGCTTTTATTCAAGCCATACCAGACAGGGATGCTCAGAGACAAAGAGCTGAGCTCTCCAGCACACAAGTACCTACAGAAATACCTCAAGATTTAGGAAGAAAGTTATCAATTCTATTAAATGATGGCAAAAGCTACATGGATGATTCCCTACGGTACATCCTTGTCACAAACAGATGTGAACAGGACAATCTGAACCACATCGACTTTTTAATGCACTTGAACATTTTCTGTGTCTTTGACTTCGATGAACATTCTAATGTGTCAGGGCTGTACAGCAAATACAAAGAGCACCATGAAACAAGTTCTTATTTCTTACAGGATTTTTTCAAAGAAATTAAGACTGATAATTCTCCCTCTCAGAAGCTGTTTGATCAGACCAGCTGGATATTCTGCAATGGGCGCAGTGACTTCCTTGGGGATGAGAAAGCTTGTGACGAAAATACATGGATCAGAACAAAAAAAAAATACCTGAAGAAAGTAATTACTTGTATCTGTGAGGAAATTCTGCCAGAGGGCTCTTTCATTGTGCTTTTTCTATTGCTGTCACCAGTGCAGAAACCACTTGTGGACACTTTTCAGGAATTCTATACAGAGATGAATGGCATGGAGTACATCATCTGCATTGCAGAGTCCAGAGACAGCTACAAGAAGTGGGCTAATCTAGCTCAGGAATCCTGCAGCATTGAGACCCTGGAACAACGCAGTGTTGTGGGCATGAAGCTCAGTCACGTCGATGCCACCATCCAGTCAATGCTGCCTTCTACAGCCCAACCCAGACACCTGCCAGCTTCCACTGGAGGCCTGTGTACACTTCCCTTGCGGGAAGAAGAGAAATTGTATTCCCTAGAAATCCTTTGTACTGATCAATGTGATGATATCAAATTAAATCTTTGGACTGAAAAACAAAAACAAGAAATAGAACAAGATTTTTACCGTGGGAGAAAAATCACTTGGGAAAACTTGTGGCTTGCTGATAATAAACACTGTGGGGACATCATTGAACGTAAGGCATGTGCAGAGGCAAGCCAACTGCTGGATGGCATTTTACGAGGAGGTGGACACAATTATTCTGTGGCTAAACTAAAGATATTTCACCATCCTGGGAGTGGAGGAAGCACAATAGCACGGCAAGTTCTATGGAAAAACAGAAAGCGTTTTAGATGTGCTGTTATCAAGACCTCCTACCCACCCTTAACTGTTTGTAACCATGTGCTCGCCCTTAGAGATTATGAAGAAAAGGAAATCATTCACTGCTTTCCTGTGCTGCTCCTGATCGAAGATTATGATGATGAGTACTTGGATGACCTACAGAGTGAGTTAATAGAGGCTGCAACAGCCAGGAAAATGAATACCTCCAGGCCTTACTTCATCCTCATATGCTGCAGACGATACAATGACCCTGAAAGGCACTGCAAGGCTTCGCCACTGGACACAGTCGCTGTCACTCACAAACTGACAGATTTAGAGAAAGAGCAGTTTAACACCAAACTTGAAAATCTGCAGCAGAAGTATGATAAACCAGAATTCATACTTACATTTGTGCTGATGTGTAAGGAGTTCAGTAAAACATATGTGTCAGACATGGTAGAGCACATCCTGCAAGGCATCGACCCTTCCTCTCGTGACACCTGCTTGATGCGTTACATTGCCCTGCTCAACTGCTACGTACCAAACTCATACCTGTCCCTGTCACACTGTGAGGCTTTTCTGGGCCTGGGGGCATATACAGAGAGTACAGCAAGAGCATACGATTTCAAGCATCACTTGAGTGAACAAGCAAGAATGATTTTCATTGAGCTAAGGGAAAGCATCACTTATATTTCAACGATTCGGATAATACACTGCCTGGTTGCAAAAGAAATTCTGCATCAACTTTCAGGGAATCAATCACTAAGTCAAATTGCAACAAGTCTTCTTCAGGAAAAGACACTCTTTGAAAACAGATTTGGACGAGAAGAATTCAGAAGGTTTATCAGACATCTGTTTATTCGACGTGATAAAAGAAGCAGGGGGGACAATACTGACACTCTCTTCTCCCCGTTCATTGAACAAGTCTGTGAAACCGAAGACTGTGAGAAAGCCATTGCTGTTTTAAAAGCTGCGTATGAGCTCCTTGGAAAAGATCCTTTTTTTGCCCAGCAGCTTGCCAGACTAAATTACAGCAATGAAAAATTTGAAGATGCTAAATACTGGGCAACGGTTGCAAAATCACATTTGCCAACCGATTCTTTTATTTTGGATACAGAAGGTCAAGTCTACAGGAGATGGTTTGGTTTTACTGTGGATAAAATGACAGAGGAAGATACTCCTGAAAGGATCACTGAGAAGATATTGCTTGCTCTTGAAGCTATGAAATGCTTCAGGGCTGCACAACAGGCAGCAAAGGAAGAACGTGAAAGCATGAACAACGCTGGCTATTTTGGAGAAGTAGAAGTAGGTTGTCGCCTTCTTCGATTTTTGTCCACACTCCCTGTATTCCACAGAGGTCCAGAGGGGGAGCATACTGAGCTTGTGAAATATCTCACCACAGATTACATTCCTGAAGACATAAAGAGACCATGGGGAAGGCTTCATTCCCGCTTGAAAGGCTTGCGCCAGAACCTCTACAATGCTCTGGAATGGATTTCAGAAGAACTAAGTTACTTCCAAACAGATAAAAACCAGGAGAAGGATGATGAAAATGATGATAAGGAAGAACAAATTCATAATCCCAGAAAGTGGCTGAGAAAGCAAGCAGCTGTATACGCTAAATTCTTCATCTCAGCATCACTTCTAGATGACAGCAACAATGGTCCTGACACTCAGCTCATGAGACAAATGAGTATTTATGGGAGTGGTGGAGGAAATGTCACCAATATCCTGTCTTTCTTAACAGATAAGAAAGAGAACAGGTCAGCTGAAAAGCTGGAAAGGATCCTTAGTTTCTATCCAGAAGACCCACTGAGGACCAGGTTGGAGGACAACGATTTGATCAATTTCATTTTGTGCCACATCACATTAGCCTGCTTAGCACCAGGATCAGCCAAACTCCTCCCACTGCCAACGCTGCGTGAGCTCAGTCTAAGATTCTTCAAAGGAAAGAGACAATTTCCAGCAAGTGCATATTTTCTGCTCACCTTGCTGTACTGGCCAGATGAGGCATTAGACAAAGAGCCTAATCCCATTAATGATGAAATTTTAACTTCAGCTCTTCAAACCTTGAAACGCTTATATGACATCAAAGTGAAAGATGTTCCTACCAGAAAGAAAAGAATCTACACCCATTTTTTTCTGGGAAAGGGTTATGGTTTAAGTAAGATAGTGGACAAAACTAAAATTGACAAATTGATGGTGGGGTCCTCCTTAGATGAGAGGAGAATGAAGTGGCTGCATGGAACTGTATGGAATGTTCCCGAAATCCGATACAATCTCAAAAGAGTTTCTGGCTGGTCCAAGGACAGAAATTTATTTATACGAGGTCACGGGAAGGAACTCCAGATCTTGCCACTCCATCGTGAATCAGTGCCTGCTGGAAATGAAAATGTGACCTTTTACTTAGGCTTTTCATATAATGGTCTTGTTGCTTTCAATATTGAGGTTGAAAATGATCCAGCCATCAAAAGAACCTAAGGTATGCGGTACAGTACTGCATGCATGGTGCTCTTAGAGGGTACTAAAACTTAGAGGGTACTAAAAATGGACTGTTCCTGAGTAACTACCAGACAACATCAGAATTAACAACCATATTAGTGACCAAGTAACTCAAAAAAATTTAAACTATGAATAGAGTGAACTTAGAGCCAAGCCATTGATTGTTCTGGAATTACAGAAAACAAGATTTTAAACCAAAGACCCAAAGACAACAATTGATCTGGTTTTTCTTACCCCACAGATTAGCACTTCAAGTTATCTCTGCGTAGTCTTGATCAGTAAAAGAATTTGTCCAGTGCTGTTGTCATCTTATTGCAGAAGTTCCATACCTTCTTGTTGCTTTCTCCAGGGCAGCTCCTCACAGCACTGACTCCTTCTTCACAGTACAGCCAACAAACTCCAGGTCTCTCCTCAACCAGCTAAGCCACTCTTTTGTGGCACTCTTCTAACTGGACACAGCTGTGGCCTATTAAGGGCAGGCCTGTTCCTTTTGGTGATTAGTACAGCTGCAGCTCCTCAGGGGTGACGTTACCTTCTGCACTATTTTCTTACATTCTGTCCCCCCACACAGTGTAACTAAATTTTTCTTCCTGAATCAGCAACAGAAAAATGAACTCAGACCACATACCATGTTGACATGTGCCATGTATGAGATACCTACTGACTGCAAAGGCAGTGGCAGTATGGAAGCAGTGTTAAAGCTAACTTCACAATCAGACTGATAAAAAACAGGCCCCAAATTCTGCATAATCCTACACTGCTTCTCTGTGTAAATACTATCTTACTAGACAATATCTATATCTGGGCTGGGGTGGGAGATACGTGAGCAGAGTCATGGGTGGCATAAAAGATCAGTTGTAAGCACTGTTATGTGTACACAGTCAAACAATTCCTGCACTTGGTGAAATTATTCTGCATTATCAGCCAAGGAGTGCCACAGAATACAGAACTGGAATTTGTCTAAAGCATACATCCATGGTTTGAAAAATGCAGAGGAGGTTTTCAGTGCTATGTTTGCAACCATGATGCCACATTCTGCTTCTAATAACAAAAATGTGTGTTCTTGGAGTTTCCTATTGTTTGATATAAGATATTGTGGCTAAAATTGCCAAAACCCCCTGTCATGTAACTTGTTTTAATCAAATAAATATCTTTTGTGAAGTACTGCCATTTCTATGTGCGCTTGATTACCCTACCTGAGGATGTATTTTCAACAGTAGCTAGGTATGATTTGCTTTTCCAACTGCAGCAAGGATCTGGGCAGAGCCAAAAACTGCAGAATGAACTGCAAGCCATGGTGAATTCTGAAGGAAGAAGGTGGAAGATTATTGTCTAATCCAAGCCTTCACATTCTGGCCTGAGGAAGGAGAAACAATTGCCAGAAGGAAGAGAGCTGGAGAGGGCAGAGAAATCCCCCTCTGCTGCCCAGCCCTGATGCAGGGACAGGAGTACGTTTCACAAGGTAACTGGGCAAAGGCAGCTTCCCCAAGTCTGGCCTGAGGCATTAGGGTGGCTTCAACCCAGAGCAGAAACTTGGGGGTATGTAAACTTACTGAAAAGCAAAACACTGACATACACAACCTGCTCAAATACTGTGGCAGAAACACAGACTTTGTTTTTGAAAAGGAACTGTTACCCTGATGAAAAATTGCAGCCAGCTTGGCCAGGAGGGTCTGTCTTGTGATTTGCTCACTGCCTGCCCACACCCCACTCGATCCTGCAGACAGCAGTGCTTTGCCCTGCAGCTCACACTACTGCACAAGCTTGAGTCTTTGAGGTATAAACAGGGCTCATGCTCCTCATATATCCCTACTTTCATCTTTTGAGAAATTAAAAGTTTAGATTTAAACTCTTTATCCCCCCAGCCCCACAGAAAACAACAGCAACAACAAAACAAACAAAACAAAACCAAACACCCCTAAAACAACAACAACAAAAAGACCAAAAGAAGAAGTTTTAGAGAAAAAGTGTAAACTCACATATTAACTCTTGGGGTCCCACACTGCAAGAACCACCAGCTGAGGCTCCCAGTGTGCCAAGTACAGACCCACCCTTTCTATTTCCTACCAGTCATGTTCACACTGGGAGGGCTTTCACCTGCCAGGCAACCACAACTGGCTCTTGGCACAAAGCAGCTCCCAAATGCCTCAGATTTCCTGGAGCTGAAGGGCCAGAGGACAAATGCCCATTAGAACTTGTCACAGCAGCAGTGTTCCCTCGAAGGGTCCTCTACTGCACCTCCTCCTTGTCACACACTGCCAGTGCAAAATGCCTTCAACTGCTCCATGCCATAGCACAAAAATATCTATTTATCTTCCCTTTACCAGCTCTCAGAAACCAACCCATGAGTGAACAGTGGTAGCTAAACAAGCCCCACCAGCCTAGCACAGTAATCCATTCTCACCCCATACACAGGAGGTGCCATTTCCCAAGCTACCTCATCTCTCTGCTCAAAAAGGATTTAGAACAGAGCACCTCCCAGCATGCCCATGCCACCAACTTTTATGAAAACTGTTAGAAATTTTTACTTTATATTCTTCTAACTTCAACAGCTTTTTACAGTCTGCTTAGCAGCAGGACAGTGGATCAACAGCAAAAGGAAGTTACAGGTCAAGAAGTTAGGATTCACTTGTTTGTGTCCACTTTAAATCAGAACTCTCAAAAATGAGTCTCTGCAGCTTACAGAGAATCAAAAAGCTGGTACCAAGTTATTCTCACCATAACATCTGTTGCAATAATAATTTAAATAGGTATTCAAGAGGAGAAAAGAAAAATACACACAAACAGTGGTTCACTTCTGTTTAATCAGACACTGTTACAAAATGTCACACATTGCAGATGGCTGTGTGTGCAATGACCCATTCCTCAAGAACAGTTCAAGAGAGGGTTCCCAGTGGATGCAAATCATGTCAGTTCCACATTTTCTTTTAATCTTCTTTGTAAAGTGAATGCTATAAAATTAAGCTTGTTATTGTTACTATTATTTGCATGCATTAAAGTGATGCACATACTTACCAGTCTCTCACTTTCTTGAATTAAATTCCACACCAGTATTTTGCCACCACCTGTCTTTTGAAAAAGATCAGTAATCCCAGCCCTTTCATCCCACTTAACACAAAAGCAGTATCAGTTAAGTTACAGAAAAAAGCCCTTCACAAGACACTAACTTCTGTGGCCATACTGCTGCTGAGAGGGGACACTGCTCACTCAGGTGCTTCAAGGTCCTTTATGAAGGTACTAAAACCAGTTTGGAGTTTGGTCATTTTGAGTTTGCTGCATGGTGACCAGAAACTCAAAAAGGGCAACTGGGAGTCAGCAAAGAGTGGAAAGAAAAGTGGGAAATGACAACCTGTCCCAAATACACAGTACCACAACTGTGAGGGAAGACTGCTGAACCACTTCACAATGGACAGCTGCTCTAGTGGTGTGTCAGAAGTTGAGCTACAATTTAACACTGTTTACCTGGCAATCAAAGTCCACATTTCCAGTCTTGTTTTGGTCCTATCTCAAAAGAAAATAAACTTTATTCTCCCAAAAAGTACCATAAGTAACTGCCATTTAAAGTGTCACAAAGAGATGTCTTTCTACCAGAGTTCTACTACAATCTGTCCTGGAGAAATGCACTTTTCCTTTTGTTAAGACCCTATGGAACACAGTGCCCTTTAGTTATCCCCATGACTGCCAGACCAGTGTACGAGTAGTGCAGGTCTGCATGCAGCCACTGCCAAAAGCAGGACCTGACATGGTAATTGAGCAGCCAACAGCATTTACTGATCCAGCTTCGTACTGAGCACTGCATTAATGCCAGCAGGTCAACCACAGGTGGTGTAAGAAATCAGACACATTCTGTTACCAGGGCTAACCTCACAACATGTATCCTTTTTATTCCTGCATACCTGCAATTAAGATTAAGCAAAGAAAGATAAAGCTAATTTGTAAATATTAATGTGTATTGTATATAATTAATGACTCCCCCTTTTCCCCCTTCTAGGAAGAAAAACCTATGCAACATTAGTCAGAAATTTGCCTGCAGCTCATTTTGAAGATAAAGCAATTTAGTGTAAATTACCAAGAACTGATGTAGAGAAGATAACAGGCAATGGGCTGATACAGTAACAATTCTAAAACGTGGGAAGCTACAATTGCCTTGAAACCGTGCATGTTTTTATGATGAATTCTGCAGCACTGTTTAAGATTTTGGAACCCTAAACCAAGAATTCTGCTGGAAGTGGCAAGTCACTCATAAACCCACTCTAGACTCTTCAGATGAGCTGGCAAAACTCAAGTGTCTGTTCAGCTACCACATAACTGTGACCTTCCCAGTGCTAAGTAATTACCCACCAGTGATGACAAAAGCCCCTCCAATTCAGAGTGGGACATCACGGCCTCAAAAGTGAATTAAAGCACAGTCTTACAGCCCATCCAGCTGTGGATCTCTGCTTCATGATTCCAGCACAGAAAAGGTTTTCATCTCTTCTACTGATATGCAGAGATAAAATATACAAAGTCTAAATAGAAATAAATGTGTGCAGCCATTCCAGAGAAAGCTGCATCTTTTGTTCATTCACAAAGAATCTTTCCTATTTTAAGGTATAAAACATTCTACACAATAGAAATAAAATACCAGAATTTCTGGGAAGATGGAATAGGCCAGAATTAAAATAGAGGCAGAGCAGTAACTCTGATGTAAGATAAAACAGCTGGACAAAACCATGTTTGTAGGCAGCCTCTGAAGTGCTGAAATGAACCAACAAAAGTAATTTAAAAAGCACAGAAGAATAAGCTCCTGGCTTACCAACCTAACAAAGTAAAAATCTGTGGGTAAGAAAGGGTAATTAGCAGTAGCTAAAGAAAATGGAAAGATTACAAACTGATATGGATTCTTAGAAACAGAAATGCTTAATCCCCAACACAACAAACAGAGGACCCTGCAGGTTTGCTGGTAAAAAACAGCCTCAGTAATAACTGGCATGTTACCACATGATTTTGACTTCAGACTTTCACATTCTTCAGTAACACCAAAGGCTGCTTGTCAAGATTCTGTATTAAATTTTCCTTAAAGGTGCTTGCAGATATTTTACCTGTCCACAAGCATAGTTAAATCCATTATAGATCTTCCAAAGAAGTCTACTCTGTTCACTCACTACTGGAATCAGTAGTAGGTAACAATTGCATTTCAGAGATCAAAATTCCCCTCAGGTATTTAAGTGGTATCATTTGAACAAATTATTTCAAATAGGAACATCAGGTACTTACAGATTAAACTAACCTGTACTGGCAGTTCTGTGGAATTTTTCTTCTCTACCAGTAAGTAGCAAATGCTGAAATTCTGCTGCTAGTTAACAGAAACACAAATTGTATTAAACCAAGGTGTTTTACCCATAATTTAGCTTTTTATTAAAAAAAAAAAAAAGCTGCCAAACTTCAATAACTGCTATTTGTTCCTTAAGAAAAGCATGTGAAGTAAAGGCAACTATAAAACTACTTTCAGTTTGCCCTTGTGATTTTTCATACATAACCCATAAGTTTAACCAGGTCACCAGCTGCCTACTAAAAACAAAGGAAATTACAATACTTACATTGCCAGGTTCCTTCATTAAAGTCCTAAAGCGTGTTTTCTCACTCTGGACTTTACAAGTGAAAGAGAAAAATGTATTTTTTCCCACTTAAGTTTATGAGAAAGAAGCTAGAGAATTCAGTGCAAGTAACTCAATGAAAAGAAAAGAAAAAAGCTCTCCATGACATCTTTGTCTCAAAGCATTACATAATTTCCTAAGTTGGAAAATGGTGAAATAGTTGCTTTTGGTTGTACTGCATTCATTTCAGGTAATTAAAATTACTGTTAGCAAAACCCAATTCTACACAGTGGCTACTAAGAGCAGGAGAAGCTGAAATTCTACAACCCATGCCCCCTTTCTGAATATGGTAGAGATTTAAGACAAAATTTAAGTGAAAAAAAATGTAAGATGTCAGAAGCTTGAACCTTGTATAAGGCAGCTAGCTGTCAGAGAGACACTAACTGCTAACAAGAGAATTTTTAACAAAGCTTTCAGGCTCTCAATGCCATGTGCTTCTTTGCTTTCAGTTAAGATGATACTGGCATTAAAATTCTACTATTTCCTCAAAACTTTTTTACTTCTTTATATCCTCAAGAAAGAAAAACCTTAAAATAAGTAAGTTCAAGACAGTATTTCTGCAGAAGTCAAATTGACTGCCATTAAACCAGCAGTGCTGCTGACTGTCCCTACTGCAAGAAAGCCCACAAGAATTTAGGTGGTTCTGTAAACTTGTTCAGAAGGTACAAGGGCCTCTTTATTCACAGTGCCCAGGTATTTAAGCAGCAAGCCTGACAATGATTCATAGCAGGGACAGCCCAAAGTGACTCAGCAGGATGCCAGGACATGTCTGGCTGCCAGAGCAGCAGCTCCAGGGCTCAGCCCCTCAGCCACACCTCCACAAGAGTGCAGTAAAACTGCATTTCCTTACTGGCAATCTGTGCTCTGGCAACCAAGACTGCACTAAGTTCCTGCTTCCAGTGTGCCACAAACCTCTCCCCAAGTGTTTTTCAGAACTTCAGAAAGAACTTTTATATACATTACACTTTACAAACAGTTTGATTGCTCTTGATCCCTTAAATGGCTGTCCCAAAACTCTTCCTTCCTCTGAATTACTTCCAACTTAGCCCAACCATGAGACAGAAGAGCAGGCACAGGCAGCTGCATTCTTACAGAACCCACTCACTACCACTGTTTCCCTCCTCTGATTATTTTGATTGCAAGCATACAGATTTTTTTTAAATTCTCCACGTGTGGTATGTACTTTATTTACCACATTTCCAAGTTACTTTTCTCGTTTAATAGATCAGGTGCAAATTTACCCAATTTAGCAGAGTATCAGTAACCCCTGCTCCTTAAAAAAAGTTATGTGCCCCTACTTAAGCTTAAAAAAACCTGAATTCCAAGACCTCATTTTGTTAATATCTATAAAAGTCACATCACTGAAATACTGTTACCTTTGTACAGAAATTTCACTAACAGCAAGATGTCCAACTTTGTGAAACACAAACTGCTGCAATGAGAGCTGAAAGACTGGAATATAACTAAGAACACACTTCATTCCTCAAAATAAAGAGGCATTTCAAAATTGCCTATTTTTTATTTTGAGACTCTAAGAGATTCAGATACTTTAAGCAAGAAGTACAAAGCCCCACAATGCATTATTTTGAGTTAAACAGTTTCCTTAGACATTCTAGGGAAAAAATAACTAAGCCAAATGGTCCTAAAATTAAGCAAGTGAAAGGAGTACTAGTTGCAGTAGTTTATCTTGAAGAGTTGTTCTCATCTTCACTGTTATCAGGGGGAGCACCACAATGAGAATTAGCAAAGCAAGACCATGCTCAGTAACCATTCAGCAACAGTTAACATGGACAGGTAAACTTTCCAGTCAGACAAGGATTTGGGGGGGGCTTCTACAGGAAAAATGCAAAGGGCAGAGTACAAAGAAGGGTACAACAGCAATGTGCAATCCACTCTAAGTGAATTACAACTCTATCCTTGAATTAAAATTACTTCAAATCCCATTAGGGGTCAGTATTAAACGATATCTTGAAGAAATAAACAACTATGTTCATAAAAAAGCCTCACCACAAACTTGAAAAATATCTCAAAAACTTAAAAAAAGTCAAACCGGACTCCCACATTTGTTTATTTACTATTTCACTGCTGGTATTCTACAAAACCAGCTGTTCTGAAGCTTTCCTTAAGCAATCTCAAGCATTCACAAACAATGGATCTGCAGCAGAATCAGCACCTTTTTCTTCACTAAGGGTAGAAATTTTTGCTAGGCACTGCGTGAAAGAAGGAACATCAAATAAAGCTAATTCTGAATATGCAACAGAATCTAACAAGGTTTAAAAGAAAGTTTTTCAAATCTTACTATTGTTGCAAGAGTCAAAACATTTTCAAATTTGACGTATTTGAGATGGAGGAAGAAGTTCTCCCTGAACTGAGGAAAAGGTTCTCCCCGAAACTGGAGAGCTGAAAAATCTGCAGCTTTGATTTCTCACTCTTCTATTCTGTGTTACCAACGAGGATCTGATCTCTATTTCTTCACAGGGCTCTACATTAATATTTGTTGAGGTGCAGCTCACAAACACAGCAGTATTAACATCTTAACCTTCTTCAAAGAAACTGCATTCTGTAATTTGGGCTACAAATTATTGTAGCAATTAACTTACTAGTTCAAATCTATTTTAAGCTTTTCAATAGATACACATCCTCAGAAGAGAAAACATTAATAATTGGTATTTACATACCACTAATTCAGAGACTACACAAAATGAACACTACCAAACCCAAACCCAAAACAGCACAAAGGCAATGCAGGGAAAGATGGGGATGGGGAGTCTAAAGGACACCTGACCAGCCCTGAAGGAAATGCATTCCATTAAGAGAAAAGGTACCCACACATCTTAAAACAGGTTCCCCCCCCTTAAGACTCTTAAAACCACAGTGATAATAAAAGGAGAAATATTAATATAGAGCCCATCTACCAAAAGAGAATAAAAAACCTAAATTAAAATAAATTTAGGGGCCTTCACCAAACTTGCTGCAAGTTTGGGGACATAAATATCCAACAGCCATAAAGCTGTGAAAGCCCCCAGAATGAATAAAATAAATCCCACTTGCCTCAGACTGAACAGGGCAACACTGAGACTCTGCCTCAGCCTGTCCTATGGCAGGGCTATAGGAAGAAGAAAAATTTGAATTTTAGAAAAAACATGACCCAATTAAGTGAAAGACATGCATTAAAAATTAACAAAATTCCACTGATCAAGCAAACAAAAGAAAATGACTGCTATAGCACCTCTTTTGTTAGGTCCAAACAATATTTTTTGTTGCTGGCAGCGATTTCTGAATTGGACAGCTTGTTTTGCTTTGTATCTTGATCAATGGAACCTCAGTTGTCTTGGGGCATTTCTCCCATAACTGATCGGATTTGTTGTACTAGTTCATGGAAAGTTGAGTAAAAGATTCCACCAGCCACTGAAAATGTTCACCCTTGTCTTGGTGTTCATGTAGAAACTAGACCAGTACAATTATTAAGACATTTACTAAGAAGTGTCATCAGCTACCATTTCAAATTGTGGCCCCAGCTCAGGGATGGTTTATCAGCCTCAATTTAAATGAAGGTCACAACGACCTTCTTGCTGTTCATAGAACTGAAGTCATCTTGGTATTTTTGTTCTCATTTTGTATCCAGAATGATTTGATTCCTAGAAAGTAACTGCAGGTTATCTATGCCATTCAATTTCATCCAGGTTTTAAGACTCTAAGTTAACCAGTTCTGTGTCAGTACTGCTCCAGAGCTCCTCAAACCAAAACCCTGGCAGAAACCACAGAAGGCAGATGCAGCTGAATGTGTTTCTAGAAGCTTGTTTACATTGTCCCATGCATGCACAGAGCGAGGAATAGTTATCCACTGTTATTAAACAGCCCAGCCTCAAATTTATTATCAGCCCCTAAAATATCATCTGTGGGGGAAAAAAAGTAATCCAGAGGTTTCAGAAGAAATTTTCAGCCCACTATGCCAGCTAAGTAGTATTTTATTTAAAGCAACTTTGCCAATGGCAGAAGGCTATTCTATTGGCTGTATGGTGGAGTTATACGAAGACTTCTAAAAATCTAACCCAGGCTTTTTTTAAGGTTCTTTCATGCCAGTCTCCATCCATTTTGCCCTAAAGATCAGCTGCTTATTATAATATTGAGACCATGCATAAAATAATTGAGAACCTTCTACAGAATCCTAGATGCAATAAATTCTGGCATGCTTTCTGTTAAACCTATTTTTCCACCTGTGTCTGAAATTTTCTTGTAGCCTAATCCTTTGTATTCAACATTTGCATTATATTGCAATTTCAAGGCTGGTTGAAATGCACTTGCAAGTGTGAATTTTAATGCAAGATCTGCCATGGCAGATTTAGGCAACAACTGAAAAACAAAGCTTCTGCCTATGTAATTACATCAGCAGGGTCCTGCAACAGCCCCACAAGATATGCTTTTCTGTAATCATAAAGGCCTCTGCAATCTCCTCCAAGAAAGGATTAACGAAAGCAAAAGCCTGTTTTCATGGCTGCATTACATCAGGGATTTTGCTGGCAGAGCTATGTTGATTACACTTGGTACTGTAAACCAAGTCTTTGTCTTTATACAAGCAACTATTACATTCAAAGCAGTTGTAGTGGTTTTGGGTAAATGCACCATAAATCCAACTCTCTGAACATTAAGAAGCAGTATCCAAAGAAATGAAGGCAGGGACCAACAGACAAGGCAGGCACCGAAACATTTGCCTGTTTACAGAAGAATCACACAGGAGACAAAAAGTAACTGCAGACTGAAGGCAGCCACATCACAGCTGGCATTGCACAGGAATGACAGGAGCAGGAAATGAAGCATCCACGTGAAAATCACAGAAAATTGTTCACCTGCTTGTATGCAAGTACCAACGAAATACACGTGGAAGTACCTACTCAAGGGGGTTTCATAACATCACTACTAAGGAAAGATTATTCTTAAAATGCATTCAAGCTGGAAGTCTATGCAGTATTAGCTTTAAATGGTACCATTATCAGAATGTGACATTCACTGTTTGTTTAAAAGAGTGAAACTTAACTAATACAACTTGCAGAATATGCCCAGTTAACAGTGCATGCAATAAGGTTTTATCCCAGGAAAGTAGGGGTCTGGAAACAACATATGGAAAATTACAGAAAGACACCAGAGGGAGAAGGAAATTACTTGACTGGGGCAGAAGGGCAAAGCATCCTTAAAGCAGCAGTATGATCTTTAGAGAAAAGTGAGAACTTCTATAGTTTTACAAGCAGTAGTTAACATCACTTCATAATGTACACATTTTATGTGTAATATTATAAAAAGGACAAATATAAGACATCATTAAAATCTCTTCAGTATTTTGAAATGATCCTAATTAGGTAAACAGAAGAAAACCAGAGTATAAAAGCGCTGCCCCAGCAAAACAAATTTTATCTGTTAGACTTCTGTCTAAAGCAAGATGAAGAGCTAACAAAAGAATTGACATCAAGGCCCACTCAGAACATCTGCAAGCCAAATACTGCACATCTGACAGGTGATCAGCAGATACCAGTGACCAGAGAGAACTGCTTCTCAACAGAGGCTTGGACTTATGGTCTGAAAACTGAACACTTGAGGAAAAGGTGCCTGGCAATTCTTAATGGTTAAACCAAGGCCATTCAGCTGCAACTGGATTGCACTGGATGCTCTAGTGCTTTTGAGACATTCTGTGACCACAGTTTAGAAGCTGAGACAATGCAGTATTTCAGCTGTACTGTTATTTTTGTACTTTTAAGAGACAGTACAGAATAGAGCCACATGAAGTGCTTTAGTGCAGCTACAAAACCCCAAGACTTCCAAGAAACAGAGCCATAATGCTCAGTATGAAAATTAAGTGAAAAACTTCCACCATCTACAAAAACTATGAATAAAATGACACAAAAATGCTAATGATCCTTCTACCCCACCCTAAAGAAGAGATATCCCCATTAATGAAACTGCAGATAAGGCTTGAGGCTGGAACATGTATTTAAAGTTGACCTGCAAATGAAAAATTCACCACTCTTTTTTCCCTGTTGAGAAGAAGCCAGAGAGGCTCTCACTTCCCTCCCCTCCAAAAGGTCTCCCTCTACATTCTCATCAGAGGTTTGACACAGGAACACATGATGCCAGACTTAATTACAACCTTAAGAGGAACTTGTCACTCTACTCTTATAAACAGAGAAATTACTACTAAGTCATAGAGGGGAGATGTCTCTTGGATAAAAGGTCTCTTCCTCCAGAAACTTTCACTGAATGGCTCAAGAAAACTTAGACAACATCTGATCATAGCACACAACAGATGGTTACAGATGGTTCACCTTTCAGAGACTGCCAAAACATGAAATTCTGAACATTTGAAGTAAAAACACAGCATATAACACATTACTCTTGCCTGCTTTGCCTCTTCTGCGCATTAAGAGGGTTAAGCTACTATTTCTCTTTTGCAGGTCAACTTCAATACATTAACTGGAAGTCACTCACCCATGTGCCATGCACCTAAGCTTCTAGAAATCTTCACCTAAAGGATCCTAAAATTCATCTCCACTTGCACATTAAAAAGCATCATTTGCAAAGTGAACTAATGGGACACACCCTGGCACTAGGATGTATCTCAGAGCACTTTCACATCCTACAAGCAAGTGCCAGGACTAGAAATCATTTAAAATTTATTGAGGACAAGAAAGCACAAGTAAAGAAACATATGCATTAAGAGAAGTTACAACCAAGAGTTGGGATGTGCCTCCTGCAGCCTCAATTTTGAGGAGTCAGTTAATAAGTGTACAGGTCTTTGTCTACTCAGACGTACAGCTAAGGAGTGACTTTTTAGAACAAGGAATTCAGACTTTATCAAAACAGCACCAATAACTGTGTTCATTACACCAATGGCTACCACGGCATGCATCTGTACAAACCTTTCAGGCAGTTGTCCACAGCTGGTCATGAATAAAAAGGCATATAAATTTTTCTCCTCTTTTATTACAATGAAGTTTATAACAGTACAGAAAAGTCACATGACCTTAGTGGGTCAGTTTACTTAAAGCCTGGAA